TATTTTTATGTGTATGTCATTTATACTGCTTGGTAATGCTGACGCTTCGAACTGAAGTATTAAATTCCGATATGCTGATGATACTTTTGGTCACGCACTCGGTAGCTGCTGGTGTGATTTTGTGTCTTTTGTGAACGATTTTGAATTATTTTTTGACGAGTGCCTAATCATTTGCCCAAACTAAGCTTTACATATATTGAAAGACCTATCCTAGTATAGTTAGAATCTAAAATCTTGTGGAATTCCGAGACATGGCAAAATGACAATTCTTTTCACCGACTGACTAACTCAATTTTGGAGAACACTCTGGTTTTTTTACCGTCAAATAATTAGATTAATCCAATGTTCTTGAAATTGTCCTTTTTTAGACAAGGAACAGTTCTACAATAAGCTGTTTGTATGACAACTTTTCTGCGCTCAATGGTTGCGAAATGCGAATCGAATAAAAATGGTCGATTTTCAGCCGATTTTCAGCCCAGTTCGCTAAATTGAATGAAATTGAGTCTGAAGGTTAAATCGAAAAAACAAACAAACAAACAAACAAACAAACCGTAGTCGTTTTTCTTGACAAAGACAAAGCTACCTCAAGGAAAAAACTACAGCCTGTTTGCACTCTTGCTAGGGGCTAGCTATATGCAAACGACGAGTAAATTTGAATTTTCTAGCCTTGCCCAAGAAATTTGATTTTGTTTGATTTTTGTGGGAATTTGCTCTTAAGACCCTCCTTCACTGTTGTGATTTTGTTTGCTTTAACTTGATGTATTATTAGTGAGTTTGAGAACTGTCGTTGAAAACCGCGCAAGAATATCGATCGCAACTGACTGAAGTGATCAATTGCAACTCTTTAGTAAGGTTGATATGTTTAAGCTTATCCTTTCAGCCAAACCATACCTTTTTGGTTTATTTAGGCGGCTTCATATTGTCGGTTACCAATTTATACCGTTTATATGATAACATAGAAAAGAAGAAGGTGAGTAACGGAATTGCTTAGAAATTAAAGCTTTAAGAAATCGAAGCGGAAAGCCTTTTATCGTTTGAATTACTCGTATGTTGCAATCATTCAAGTCGAGTCATTTAGTGGCCTACGTTGAATCTTTTCATAACTTTTAGTGCTCCATATAATTTCCCCCGAGGTAAATTGCGGTATCTCATAATTTCAGATGATACGTAACTAAATACTAAGGCTAAGAGAGCAAACTATTTGAAGTATGCTAAGAATTGAAGAGTGATCTTTATGACATGCGCAAGGAGTTGTCACCTAGGCGAGAAAATTTAAGACATGAGCGGTATGCTTAGCGTACTATTCATGTTTTAAATTTTCTCACCTACGTAGGTGACGAAATAACCATGCTTGAGAAAGCTAAAAACACAATTAAAACAAAGAAATCAATAACAAGAGAATCATACACGAGAAAAGAAAGCAAACCATAATGGCACAGCGGGGGCAGCTGTACTGTCAACTACTACTAGTTATTAACCCTGTTACTTTTTTCTGTATGTAGTTGCCGTTGCTGGACTGAACCTTCACGCTTCAGGTTTCAATGGCAGCTGCAACTCCTTCACCCCTGGCGGCCTCTACTGAAACAACAAATGGAATCAAGTTGAGGAGACTTCTTGTCGATGGTGGAACGACAGTTCTAAGGAAGGTTTTTGATGGCATTCATCCTCCCACAAAACTGACTGCTAATCTCCACTTGAATAATTCAACTCTAGATGACCTCTTTGCGAGAGGAATCCTTAGTGAACAGCAGAGAAATCGTCTGTTTCCCCCAGATGGATCCAAACCAGACTCGAAGACATTTGATATTACTCTGCTTTTTCTTTTGCTGACTGAAATTTGTGGCTTATCCCCCCCTGCCCGCACAGGTTGGAACCACAAGCCTCAGGCAAAAAACAAATCTCTTGCTGCAAACCTTGTTCGTATTAAACTGTTTCGCAATAAGCTAATTCACACTCCTGAAACACGTATTGACTCACGATTGTTTAATGAGCTTTGGAAAGAAATTAGTGGTGTTCTTGTTTCTCTTGGTTTGGACCAGGCACAGGTAGACAGATTGAAAACAGAACGCTGCGGGGAAGAAGATTATCTCGACGTTTTGTTTAAATGGGCAGACCGGGAGAAAGAGATCAAGTCAATGGTGGAATTACTACGTCAAGGCCAAGCTAAAATGCAGAAAGCCCAACAAGACAACCAAGTGCTACTTCAGGATACAAAGACCGCTGTTGAGGCAGCATGCAAGACCCAACAAGAACACCTTACTCTACTTCAAGATGCCAACGCTAAGTTGGAACAAGCTCGTGAGACCCAACAAGTTACTAAATTAAAGCTAGAAACAATACATCAGAGCCAGGCCAAGACACAAGAAACTGCCGAGAGAGTTCATCACACCCAATTACAAGATCATGAAACACTTCAGGCTAACAAGTCAAAACTGGGTAAAGTACACCAGACCCAAACCAAGACACAAGAAACTGTTAAGAAAGTGCGCCAGACGCAGTTAGAATACCGTGAAACACTTCAGGATGACACGTCAAAACTGGATAAAGTGCATCAGACCCAAATCAAGACAAAAGAAACTGTTGAGAGAGTTCGTCAGTCTCAATTAGAAGACCGTGAAACACTTCAGAATAGCAAGTCAAAACTGGATGAAGTACATCAGACACAGACCAAGACACGAGAAACTGTTGAGAGAGTTCGTCAATCTCAATTAGAAGACCGTGAAACACTTCAGGATAGCAGGTCAAAACTGGATGAAGTACATCAGACTCAGATCAAAACACAGCAAGTTGTTAAGGGTGTAGCGAAGACCCAAGAAGAACATTTTGAAAGTTTGCAAGTAGTAAAGCAAGCTGTCAACAGCTTAAAACAGGAAAGAGAAGCAGACAAAGAAAAATACCAAGTCCTAAAAAACCTTGCCAAGGCGGAGTTCAAAGGAGACATAGAGTATCATGTGGGACGGTATCAAGAGGGAACTCGTGAGTGGGTGTTTAACGAAGTTGAAAACTGGTTAGACAACAAGCGTTCTCAAAACCGTGTGATGGTGATCAGTGCAAATGCAGGCATGGGTAAGTCGGTTATCTCCGCTGTTATTTGCAAAAGAATGCAAGAGGATGGCAGACTGGCAGGAAGCCACTTTTGTCAGCATAACAATGCTCGTTACCGAAATCCTCAGTTGATGCTTCAGTCCTTGTCCTGTCACTTGTGCAATGCCTTGCCTGAGTACAAACAAGCTCTTGTGAAACAGCTGTCAAGAAATCTGGGTAAAGACCTCAATGACATGGGTGTTGAGGAGCTGTTTTCCCTACTTTTTAAGGAGCCTCTGAGCACTGTAGCTGACCGTGGAAGAAACATGCTCATGGTGATAGACGGCTTGGACGAAAGTGAGTACCAAGAACGCAATGAACTTCTTGATGTTATTGCAAACCACCTTTGTAAACTTCCATGTTGGATCCGATTCCTTTGTACGACCCGACCAGAGAGGAACATTGCAGAGGCGTTAACACATCTGAAGCCGTTTCTGCTGGAATCAAATGATGATAAGAATATTGAAGACATCAAGTGGTTCTTTGAAAAGAGGATGCAGCAGCTAATCGAAGCAGAAAAAAAACACTCCATAGTGGAAAAGCTTGTCGAAAAGTCTGACGGGCTCATGCTGTATGCGTACTTTCTTGTTTCGTTTATTGAAGAAGATGTGTCAGTTCTGGACCAAGAAGATCTCGAAGGCAGCTTGCCATTAGCAATTTCTTCAATCTACCATTCGTATTTTAAACGACTAGAGAACGAACTTAAGAAAGAAGTAGACGTTAAGGTTGAGAATTTTTTGAACCTACTTGCTGCTGTTACCGTCTCCAGGGAGCCCTTGCCAACTGGCTTTCTTTCCAAACTCTTGGTACCTAATGCCAGGTCACCACTTGCAAGGCGGAAAGAACTTAAAGCTATTAGTAGTGTGTCCTCACTTCTTCCCATTCGTGAAGGCTGTCTTCACGTCATTCACAAGTCAGTTAAAGACTGGTTGACTGACGCATCCTTTTATGGAGAGCATGAATTCAGTATGGACGAGAAAGAAGGCCACCAAATTCTTGCAAGCCTCTGTGCTAGAGAACTTGTTGAGCTGAAACAGAAAGATGTGCTTCACCGACAGTTTACCCCCACTGAGAAGTATGCGCTACATCACGGTGTAAAACACATGTTGCTGATAGACGAGGAAATGAAATCCCATAGCCTGAGGGAATGTGTAAAAACATACGTACTAGACTTAGAGCTTTTGTATGCAAAGCTCTGTTTAAACGATTCAGTAGCAGCTGGAGACATTCTGTGGCTTCACAAGCAGAAGATGTTCCCTATGCTGTCTGAAGATAGTCAAGATATGTTGCACATTTTGTTGTTCCTGCTACGAAAGTACTTCTCCACTTTTTCAGACCATCCCCACGTATTTTTCCAAACCGTGGTGAATGAGGGAGGATCATTTCTGTCTCCTATGGCATCGGACCTGTTGCTAAGCAAATATCCTGAATTACCATATATGGAATTGGTCCAGAAGCAGATGCAGCAGGGAGTTGTTCTAGCCCGATTTCGATGCTCGTCTCCGGTGGCTTGTTTTGATGTTTCTCCCGAGTTAGACTACATGGTGTGTGAATGTGACGACGGAACGATTTACATGTGGTCACTTCATACTGGTAAACTTGTATGGACACGTCCTGTGATCGTGAAGAAACTGCACTTCGGGAATGGAGCATACAGAATGTCACCATCCTCTCCAGGCGTCCTGTCGTTTTACCGTTCAGTAGTTTTTCATCCCACCAAGGAAGTGGTCTTGCCAGGAGTCCTTAGCCGTGCCTATGATTTCAAAGGAGAGATGAAACCGCTTTTTCCCGAAAGTAGCTGCAATTTCACTGTTTGCTCGATTTCAGGAGACAAGACCACCATGCTAACTGACTGCCCTGACAATCCTAAATGCATTATTATGTGGAGTCTCAGGAATGGTTCCGAGATTATTCGCACCACAAGAAAGGACGATGTTTTATCTTTTGCATGGTCACGAGATGGAAAGATGGTAGCAATTTCTCATTGCATGGGTTCAATTTGCTTGGTTGATGTGACATATGGCTTTAGAACACTGGCACAAACGGCTCTGCCAGAAAGTTGTGGGATGATAAAGTTCTCACCTAACTGCCAATCTCTTTTTTGCTTTAGTGGAACACATCTCCTTAATCACCTCGTCTGTTTGAACATCAATATGGCGGAACATCTCAGCTGTAGTTTAGATGTTTGTATTAAATCCTATGTTCCCTGGAAATTGGAATCCCGTAGCGAAGCTGGCTTTTTATTGGGAGATCCTCTTTCGTCTGTGGATGTGGAATTTGAGTTTGTGCTGAATAAGAAAATAGTATTGAGGAGTTCTCCCGGTAACATTTCCATAGACATGCTGAATATTGATGAAACGAAGAAAAACCTAAAAGCCGAACTTAACAGGAGCAAAGAAATTATTTTTGCTTTGAGTGGAGATACTATTTATAATGTCTTCCGTGACGAGGTCAGGGCTTTCGATGTTTCAAGCGGTGAGCTCATCGGCCAAGTTGCAGCGAGCGGTGAATATCTCTCAGCGCTAGCCATGGAAGAAGGTGTTTTAATATTAACAATAACGTATACAACGTATACAATTGAGTTGTGGAATGTTGAATTATCCAGGTGCGTCCGAAATTGGCCAAATTTAAACGGCATCAGACAACTGATCGGGATATCAGAACAACGAGTGGCATGCGAAGGAGAAAACCAAGTTCTTATCTTGGATACTGCTAGCGGAGACATCGTGTCGACAATCCCAATTGGTCGTCAGTTTCTTGCTTGTAACAGTAAATGTCAATTGTTAACAGCTGGTCGCTTTTCACTTGAGTTGTGGGATGGCGAAACTCTTCTCTGGGACAACGACGTCCCTGTTTATTATTTTTTACAAGCGATTTTCTCTCTTGGTGAACGGTTTGTAGTAGTTTCCACTAAACACGGCAAAACTCGCGAAGTAGTGATTGTCTTGGATGCAGTGTCAGGAAGAGAGGTAAACGTTTTAGATGTCAAAGTCAGAAATTTGAATTTATGTAAATTTATCAGCGGGGAAGAATGCGTTATCAGCTCCGAAGCTGCTTCAGAAGGTCTTCTGCTGTTTAACGTCCAGTCTGGTAAACTGCTGAGTGTAATCGATCTGGAAAGTCCAGTGACCTGTTTAGCAACCTGTCCTCGTAAGCAGCTCGTGGCCATTAACAAAAGTGACTCTAAACATGGATTTAAACTTATCCAGACTCAGATGCCTCGAAGTTTAGGCAACATTCAGAACAAAAGGTGATCTAGAAATACACAAATTAGAAATTTTAAAAGTCATACACCGAATGCAATGTTGTGTTTTGACAATGGTTCCCCAGAAAAGTCTTGCTTCGTCGTCGATCTGGTCTGTTTTTGTTTCGCCCTCCCTATAAGTTGTTGTGTTCCTGAATGCCACCAGAAGGAATTGAA